ATCATCATCATCATCATCTTATTCCTGGAATTGTATAATTCATATGTATTCTTTGCACACGGCATTTGTTAACAAATGCAATACAGTTAATCTACACATATGTGTATATATATATATATACATATATATATGTATGTATGTATGTATACGTAGTTGTGTATCCATGTGTGTATATACACGCACGTATATATAGATACATAAAATATATATACATATAATATGTATATTATAAGTATACAAATATAAATTATTTGCCTTATCTTAAAGGTCGACTCATGGTCTGGGACTCGTGGTAGGAAGTAAACTCTTCTGCTTTGTGAATAGACCCGGTTATTATTTTATTATACACTAAGTAAAGATCATTTAATAAACCCGTTTCATCGAAAATCTCTTTCTTCTAAATTGGTTTCTTTTAGGTACAAGTTTACGATGCGCTCGCGTTGAGTTTATGCATATTATATCAAAATTGGACTTCGATCGATTCAATTTCACTGCTCAATTTTTGCCTTCACATCGGATTCAAAAGATCAGTAAACTAATGTATAAATTAATTAATCTTGTTTTTTTTTTTTTTTTTAAATAAAAGTTACAAAAATTTCCGTAAACATTCCATCTATTGCCCACCGAGCATTATTTACTAAATGGGATAGTGATGTATGGATAAATTACTGAGGTATATTTACAAATGGAGGCTAGTTTTTTCGATCGGGCGCAGGAAAATATCAAATGCCATCGCACAAGCATATAAGAAAAAATCTCGTTACAAAGGGCTTATGTTTATGATGCAAAATATGAATAATAGAACGATGAATGCTTTTTACCTCGAACTACATGAATATTTTACTTTTGATCTTTCAATTCTTCGATATTGTTTCAATTTTTGGTATTTACTTGCGCACCGATTGCATTATCGCGACGTCTCGCAGCATTTAGATTGACTTAAATCTAATAGATCTATATGGCGCCTTATTACGATTCAAATCGACTCGTAATTCGTTAATATTTAAGATTTTCACGTTCCATATTTTGGTATCTTCACACCCTCGTGAACAATAAATTTTTTTTTTTTATCTTTTCATTGATCAGAACTTGCAATTTCTTCTTTTACTTTGCATACCGATTTCACTATATTTTGGTATATTTTCAATTATTTGGAACTGATTCAACCACTGAAATATCGTTGTGAACGTTCAAACTTTTACCCATGCTCAAATCATACTTAACAAGTTATCTAATCTGTTATAAAGTCAAAAACTAGATATTAAACATTATAAGTGTAAGTGATAACCTACGTTATAGACTTAAAATTACAACTAGAATAAATATAATTGATAGATTAAGGTCCTTTTCATACTTTCCAAGATAATATTAACATTGTATCACTTGTAAGTCTATGATTAGAATCATTAATGCACAAAGTTCTACAAATTTCAGATGATAACTTACATTATTATCCAAATTTCCAATATTTAATTTTTTTTTCGATTCCAATATTTAATAATTTTCTTTCTTGCGTTTTCTTTCTAGGTTTGCGATCACTATTAAAATATCAAATGTTAGACTAAATTTTCTGTATTTATTGTCTATTTGTAAATTGGCTCCTACATTAAATAAAATTTGTAGAACTCCATTCGGATATTTGTTAAAAGCTATCAAGTTTCACTTTTTAGTTAGCTCGATCATGCAATGATATGATGTTCAAATGTTATTAATACTGTTGTGTTAAATGAAATTAAATCATTACTTTAAAGAATTACGTGCATTATAAATTCAAGATAAAAAGTTTGCTAGTGTATTAATGATTCTAATAGTATATAATAAACAATTTGTGGAGCACAGCATCAATACATATTTATACGCTTCAATTATTCTATCTATTGCCTCTACATAGTAGTTACTTGCAAGGCTCTTAATACAATTATTGTGTTCCATTTACATAGATTTGCACATGAATCATGAATGGTAAATTTTTTAAAATAAAAACTTGAGGACCTTAAAATTTGCATGACAAATAAAATGTAGCTTATCCTAATAATTTCATATTATTTCTGATTTATTTTGCATTTATTGAATTATTTCTATTCTATTCTTATTCGAATTATTTTCTGTATTGATAGAGCATCATTGTTAGCTCGAATCTAATGCCATATAGATTTCACTTAAAAGTACTTGTTTTGCCTGAAGAGATAATGTTTCATATTTACCATTTCACATTTACCAGATAAAAGGTAGCTATTCATTTACCTTCAAAAACATTTATGTCAGTGCATAATTGATATGAATAAAGTACTACCACAGTTCAAGCTACGCGATAATTCTCGTTCCACATGCAAAAAATAACATCTATGTAACTAAAGGAAATAAAATAAAACATGTATATTTCTGGATTTTCGATTGGTAATATTAAATTGTTTAGATGTAATATGCTATTTTTTTACATAATTATAATTCAATGATCAAATCATATTTCTTTCTACTTATTATTCTGAAGAAAAACTTCGAATTGATTCTGAATTCTTTTGAAATTTTTCTTAGTCACGTGAAAAATTTTTGATCTGTATGTGTAAGTCAATGTTCTACATGTCTTAAACAATCCCAAAAATGACATTAGATTTATTCTCATTGAAAGTTTATGTCATACAAAAGATATTATTTAGCAAATGTGGCACGATGTTCTTTATAACACTAAAGATATTACATAACACTATGTTTTATCAACTGCCACAACTTTGGATTCTATTACAGATTCTTAACTTACTTTGGCCATTGACTCGAAGACCTTCACAATTAACATTTACAAATTTTTTATTCAGTATATTTTCCTATTGACAAATCAGTTGACTTGACGTGGTCAAATTTTTTTATGCTCATGATAAATATAATAAATACATTTATAAAGAATTATAGTCTCATACCCACAATAACAAAATATGCTTAAGCATGAAAATAGATCGTATATACCAATATCGTCACATGACTTGAAAGTATATTTCATTCATTTTTTCTTTAAAAAAAAAAAAAAAAAAGTGACTGGTTCAAATGATAACTATCTATAAACAAGATAACAGTCTTGCAAAAGCGATTTATACAATCGTGAATTTATATTATAATGTGACCTTCTTTTATCCTACAAGTGCTAGAGGAAAATCACCCTCTAAAAAAAAAAAAAAAAAAAAAAAAAAAATAAGCGTAATATACACGGCAGCTGATTTCTTTAAATTGTTCATTTGTATGGTCTTTACCGCGAATGACCCATCAGTCAAGCTGCATCAATCTAAAACATGATTAACTAAAAGCACCTTTTTTAATAACTACTTACTAACATGTTAAAAAATCCGTCTAAAACCTAGTCGATAATATATTAAATAAAACATTAAAAAAAATCAAAGCTTAATATAAAATTATTCGACGTATTTTAGGTATTAGACAGATTTATTTGATTATAAAAGTAAGCAAAAAAATTGACCACTCAAGAAGATTGTCCAACATTTAAGTAGTCTAGAAATATCCACGTGCAAGATATGATGATTATCATTTTACGGTATCATTTTTATTATTTTATTTATGTGTCTAAGAAAAATTCAAAGAAGAATTATGCAAAGTACATAACCCGCTTTGTGTTTGCATGAACTGTGATAGCTCTTGCCATTGCACCTGGTGTTCTGTCTTCGCTACAGCCAGATTGATGAGATCCTTCCCCACTGAAATATACAATATATCAGTATTATAAGTAATAAACATAAAAGTAAATAAGTATTATAAGTAATAAACATAAAAGTAACAAGTATACGTATAAATAAATTAAAATATACATTTACATGTAAAAATATTGAAGTTTTTATTTAATATTTCAATAAATTGAACTGATAAAAATTTAATTAATTTGTATTTTTTCTTATATATGTTCATATAGAAGTTTTTAATACTATAATTAAAGTATAATTATCATATATTAACAAAATTTTTTACAACATATTGAGTATGTTCTTTCAACTTTTATTTTCAGCCATCTCTATGTCTATAATTAACAAATAAAGTTTTATTATTCTAGATCTTCATTTTTTTTAGTTTATAGAATTTTCAGGATTTTTCCTTATTGAATGCTATAAGTTCATTTGATTCTTGTTATTATAGACTGATATTCAATCGTGGTATAATTTTATGGGAACAAATTTGAAATAAGTATATAAGAAAAACTTAGAAGCAAATAAAATAAAAGTAAATAAAAGCACGAATAAATAATAGACATAAATAGAACTCATAAATGTAACTGATAAAACTATTATTAAATTAATAATTCTTTAATATTCAACGTTTAGTATTGTAAAAATGACTAGAAATTCTTATTGTAATAAATTTGTGTGATTTATTTTTCTAAAGTATTGTATATAATCCTGTATAAGTGGATATTTCTTCTATTAACAAGTATCCATCTTAAAAAATAATACTATTGTAAATTTTACTAATTTATATTGAATTTAGCATTAACCACTATTTTTCTCAAAAATGATAATGAATGCGTATTTATTTATTATTTTCAGATTCTTTAACCATATATTAAGTTTCATGAATGTTCACAACAATAAAGTTTCACGATATATTCAATTTTATAATAGTAATTTCTCATTACGGTAAATTAATAATAATTGAAAAAAAATTTTCATAATATCGATATCAAATAATAAAATACGTACCTATCATGCTCTTTTTCTACCAAATGATACCTGGCTCGGAATGCTACGAGATGAGCATAATATGCTGGTGCAGGTATACTAACAGATCTCGTACATCTGACATACGTGTGACATAGTTGATAAGTTAGAGATTGTAATTCATCACTTTCAAAACGATTATCATCCCATAAAACATGATAATGTGATGGTCGTGATGTGCCCTACAATAAATGTAAAAATAATTATTAATTTAAATTTAAATAATATTTACTGAAATATGTAAAATGTAATTGAAACAAATAAAGAAAAAAATTTAATTATATTTAATTATAAGTTTAAAAATTTACCTGTATGCCTTGGTGACTACATAAATAAAAATCAAATTCAGTTGGATGTGTTATACAAACATCAACTGTTGTGCCAGCTGGAATATTTCCACTTTTACCACTTTGATCTCTTTTTTCTGAACAAAATAGACGAGTGTGATGTCTCTTCTGAACTACAACAAATGTTATTCCAGGTCTATATTCAGCTTCAAGTTTAATGCAAGCTTCACGAATGGCAGTTAATTCGTGTTGCAGAACATGAAGAAATTGGCCTTCGGAGACGCCATCGCGATAAAGAATTATCCTAAGTGGTTTATATCCTCCAGTACTTTTGTAGAACATGAGAAGAAGTTCCCTTAAAAAAAAATATATCAACTATTAATAACTAAAAGCAATATTAAAATATATTAAAGTTATATTATAAAATTAATAAATAATATAAATTTATATTATAAAATAGATGTCTTTTTATACACAAATTATTTGTATATTTAAAAAACTCATTTTGATAAATAATTAATTAAATTTATCTTATAAAATATATCAAATTATAAAAAAGAGAAATTTTTATTTTCACAGTAAATAAATTTATATTATTATAATTTACTTACCTCACCATTGAACTAAGTTCCTGAATAATTTCTTGTCTATGTTGTTGAACTCTAACAGTAGCTGCATACCGAGATGGATGAGCATCCATACTAGCAACTACTGCTGCTATGCTAGGTTTTTTGTTATCTCCAGCAGGAGGATGAGTTACATCAGCTCCAAAGAATATAACAGGTTCGTCAAATACTTTCGGTCTAATAGTAGGTACTAAAATACTATTAATACCACCTAATTTTACATTAATTTTTAAACATAAATTCGACAATGTCTGAGGTGACGTTTTATTAACATTTTTCGCTTGTACACATTGTGTTGCCATACCCAATAACGTATCTCCTACTCTTTTAACTTCAGCTGTAAACAGAGTATGTAATTTACATATGTAAAATATGTTATCAATATTATATATTACAAAAAACCCATATAACACAAGACATAAAGCATATTTCATGTTATAACAATAAAAATATTTTTCTATTTATTTATGTTGTTATATGGAATTAATTTACTGCATTATAGAACGAATTTTTCATCACATTATACAAATATAATAAAATATAATATATATATAATTACCATATACAGGTGTTTTTCCAGGTAATATAACACAAACAAGTTGTAATGATGAAAATGTTGCTTTAAGATATCTAAACATGGGCTCTACTTGATCTGGCCCAGTAGCATATTTACAAAAACATGGTTGCCCAATAATTGGCATTCCAGCATCATTGCTTATTCTTTGTAATTGTGCTATAAAATTACGTATTGCATCATCGCGTACAGTTCTTTGTGGAGCAAAACAAGCAATTGCCCAAACCCTAATTTCCACACCAGTGAAAAACTGTTTTCCACGCATATCCCAAACACCACCATTAGGTATAGCTTGTTGCTTCGTCTTTAGTAAAAAAAAGAAAAAAATAAATATATTACTAAATATCATGATATATATTGCGAATCATAACAAATAAACAAAAAAGATACACCAGCATCTCTATACAATCCATGCAATCATCACTTCTTTATGTATTTCATTTCTTTCTAAGACAAAAGTCATATGTATATTAATTACAAAATAACACAAATAAAAATTTATAAAGATTAAAATAGTAAATCAAAATAAATAAGAATCCACATTATTTCACTACTGCATGGAATGAAACTGATAGCATCAGGCAATATCTACAATATTGGACTGTGAATATAATACAAATTATGTTTTTAAAAAATTAAATTTTCTTTGCAGAAAAAATAATATTTAAAATAATTATTATTTTTGATGTTTTTACAGATTTTCTATAAATTGTTTATGATGTTTATACAAATTTTATATAAAAATAATTTGTTCTCATTACCAGATCCAGACCCATGTATTCATTTAGCAACTTTTCATTTTATTAATTTTTTAATGTTTTTGGAATAGAAAAGACCAAATTATTATTATCTTAAGAAAGATCTCATTCCATTGTGTGAAATGATATTTATTAAGATTTTTACTTTAAAAGAGAAAATGTATAAATATTAGAAAGAAATTTTTAAGCTAGTTTAAAATAAAAATTTTAAGTTAAATCATGATTGCAAGAATGTTGTTAATGTATCTTCAAATAAAAAAAATAGATTATAAATTTGTATTATACAGCATTGCAAAAGATATATTACTACCAAAAATAATACAAGAGCCTCTGCAAATGTGTGATTTGGCAAGACCTGACTGATCAAGTTGGAAGTTTCTCACCTGTCCACTGAGGGAACTTACGCGCCCTCCGTACTGTAGCTTGGGTGGAGGCAAAACACGACCCCTAACTTCCATCATATTGTTTGATATTGTCAGACCAAACTCTTGAACATATGAATCATTATTAAAGTCAGCTCTTCTAACTAAGTTATTTATTTCTCGTTCACGATCTGGAGCAGAGCGAGCTGTAGCTTTTATCATAGTAGAAGTCTGCATATCAGTCAATTTTTTGATGCAACGTTGTCCAGCGACAATATTACAGACCTAATAATACACATGTACATATGATATTTCTAAATTATTAAAATTTTCGAAATATGTAAATTTCTTGTACAAAGAAAATGATCCAACAAATTCTTCAAAAATTAGAACTATCTAATGTATTTCGTTTTTATTTCCAAATATTTATGTTATTTCTATGTTATTGATAATAATAAAAGAGAGCTAAAAATAGTTTTACCATTGCCACAAGAAATTTGCATGTTTTAACTTATATTATAGTTGTAAAATATTTAATAAATTATATATACTTTGCAAATATTTAAAATTGATTGAACAAAATACTAGATAAAAATAAAAGAAAAGTAAAATCAACAAACCTCAAGTGGCAAATATGTATGTTTATGTTCTTGTCCAACTTGAAGACATGGAAGATATGGGTGACGCAGTTTCATTTTATATTTGTCTAAGAAATATTTTGCGACCGTGCACTCAACTGTTTGTCCATT